CCATAGGGAAAACCGCATTTTCAAGGGATCCCATCAGGAAAAATGGACAAAAAATCGAAAAAGTATTTTGTCTCCGGATTTTGATGCAGAATGGTGGCGAATCGACCCAGAAGTCGTTTAAGGTACTCCGCTTGAGAATCGGATGAGAATTGGGAAAGATATAGCCATTACTGCGGACCACATAGGGGGAAACCGCATTTTCAAGGGATCCCATCACGAAAAATGGACAAAAAATCTAAAAAATATTTAGTTTCCGGATTTTGATGCAGAATGGTGGCGAATCGATCCAGAAGTCGTTTAAGGTACTCCGCTTGAGAATCGGATGAGAATTGGGGAAGATATAGCCATTACTGCGGACCCCATAGGGAAAACCGCATTTTCAAGGGATCCCATCAGGAAAAATGGACAAAAAATCGAAAAAGTATTTTGTCTCCGGATTTTGATGCAGAATGGTGGCGAATCGATCCAGAAGTCGTTTAAGGTACTCCGCTTGAGAATCGGATGAGAATTGGGAAAGATATAGCCATTACTGCGGACCCCATAGGGAAAACCGCATTTTCAAGGGATCCCATCAGGAAAAATGGACAAAAAATCGAAAAAGTATTTTGTCTCCAGATTTTGATGCAGAATGGTGGCGAATCGACCCAGAAGTCGTTTAAGGTACTCCGCTTGAGAATCGGATGAGAATTGGGAAAGATATAGCCATTACTGCGGACCACATAGGGGGAAACCGCATTTTCAAGGGATCCCATCACGAAAAATGGACAAAAAATCTAAAAAATATTTAGTTTCCGGATTTTGATGCAGAATGGTGGCGAATCGATCCAGAAGTCGTTTAAGGTACTCCGCTTGAGAATCGGATGAGAATTGGGGAAGATATAGCCATTACTGCGGACCCCATAGGGAAAACCGCATTTTGAAGGGATCCCATCAGGAAAAATGGACAAAAAATCTAAAAAATATTTTGTCTCTGGATTTTAATGCACAATGGTGGCGAATCGACCCAGAAGTCGTTTAAGGTACTCCGCTTGAGAATCGGATGAGAATTTGGGAAGATATAGCCATTACTGTGAACCCCATAGGGAAAACCGCATTTTCAAGGGATCCCATCAGGAAAAATGGACAAAAAATCGAAAAAGTATTTTGTCTTCGGATTTTGATGCAGAATGGTGGCGAATCGATCCAGAAGTCGTTTAAGGTACTCCGCTTGAGAATCGGATGAGAATTGGGAAAGATATAGCCATTACTGCGGACCCCATAGGGAAAACCGCATTTTGAAGGGATCTCATCATGAAAAATGGACAAAAAATCTAAAAAATATTTTGTCTCTGGATTTTAATGCACAATGGTGGCGAATCGACCCAGAAGTCGTTTAAGGTACTCCGCTTGAGAATCGGATGAGAATTGGGAAAGATATAGCCATTACTGCGGACCCCATAGGGAAAACCGCATTTTCAAGGGAAAATGCGAAAATGCGAAAATGTCCATCAGGAAAAATGGACAAAAAATCGAAAAAGTATTTTGTCTTCGGATTTTGATGCAGAATGGTGGCGAATCGATCCAGAAGTCGTTTAAGGTACTCCGCTTGAGAATCGGATGAGAATTTGGGAAGATATAGCCATTACTGCGGACCCCATAGGGAAAACCGCATTTTCAAGGGATCCCATCAGGAAAAATGGACAAAAAATCGAAAAAGTATTTTGTCTCCGGATTTTGATGCAGAATGGTGGCGAATCGACCCAGAAGTCGTTTAAGGTACTCCGCTTGAGAATCGGATGAGAATTGGGAAAGATATAGCCATTACTGCGGACCCCATAGGGAAAACCGCATTTTCAAGGGAAAATGCGAAAATGCGAAAATGTCCATCAGGAAAAATGGACAAAAAATCGAAAAAGTATTTTGTCTCCGGATTTTGATGCAGAATGGTGGCGAATCGATCCAGAAGTCGTTTAAGGTACTCCGCTTGAGAATCGGATGAGAATTGGGGAAGATATAGCCATTACTGCGGACCCCATAGGGAAAACCGCATTTTCAAGGGATCCCATCAGGAAAAATGGACAAAAAATCTAAAAAATATTTAGTTTCCGGATTTTGATGCAGAATGGTGGCGAATCGATCCAGAAGTCGTTTAAGGTACTCCTCTTGAGAATCGGATGAGAATTGGGGAAGATATAGCCATTACTGCGGACCCCATAGGGAAAACCGCATTTTCAAGGGATCCCATCAGGAAAAATGGACAAAAAATCGAAAAAGTGTATTTTGTCTCCGGATTTTGATGCAGAATGGTGGCGAATCGACCCAGAAGTCGTTTAAGGTACTCCGCTTGAGAATCGGATGAGAATTGGGAAAGATATAGCCATTACTGCGGACCACATAGGGGGAAACCGCATTTTCAAGGGATCCCATCAGGAAAAATGGACAAAAAATCTAAAAAATATTTTGTCTCCGGATTTTGATGCAGAATGGTGGCGAATCGATCCAGAAGTCGTTTAAGGTACTCCTCTTGAGAATCGGATGAGAATTGGGGAAGATATAGCCATTACTGCGGACCCCATAGGGAAAACCGCATTTTCAAGGGATCCCATCAGGAAAAATGGACAAAAAATCTAAAAAATATTTTGTCTCCGGATTTTGATGCAGAATGGTGGCGAATCGATCCAGAAGTCGTTTAAGGTACTCCTCTTGAGAATCGGATGAGAATTGGGGAAGATATAGCCATTACTGCGGACCCCATAGGGAAAACTGCATTTTCAAGGGATCCCATCAGGAAAAATGGACAAAAAATCTAAAAAATATTTTGTCTCCGGATTTTGATGCACAATGGTGGCGAATCGATCCAGAAGTCGTTTAAGGTACTCCTCTTGAGAATCGGATGAGAATTGGGGAAGATATAGCCATTACTGCGGACCCCATAGGGAAAACTGCATTTTCAAGGGATCCCATCAGGAAAAATGGACAAAAAATCTAAAAAATATTTTGTCTCCGGATTTTGATGCACAATGGTGGCGAATCGATCCAGAAGTCGTTTAAGGTACTCCTCTTGAGAATCGGATGAGAATTGGGGAAGATATAGCCATTACTGCGGACCCCATAGGGAAAACCGCATTTTCAAGGGATCCCATCAGGAAAAATGGACAAAAAATCTAAAAAATATTTTGTCTCCGGATTTTGATGCAGAATGGTGGCGAATCGATCCAGAAGTCGTTTAAGGTACTCCGCTTGAGAATCGGATGAGAATTTGGGAAGATATAGCCATTACTGTGAACCCAATAGGGAAAACTGCATTTTCAAGGGATCCCATCAGGAAAAATGGACAAAAAATCTAAAAAATATTTTGTCTCCGGATTTTAATGCACAATGGTGGCGAATCGATCCAGAAGTCGTTTAAGGTACTCCGCTTGAGAATCGGATGAGAATTTGGGAAGATATAGCCATTACTGTGAACCCAATAGGGAAAACTGCATTTTCAAGGGATCCCATCAGGAAAAATGGACAAAAAATCGAAAAAGTATTTTGTCTCCGGATTTTGATGCAGAATGGTGGCGAATCGATCCAGAAGTCGTTTAAGGTACTCCACTTGAGAATCGGATGAGAATTGGGAAAGATATAGCCATTACTGCGGACCACATAGGGGGAAACCGCATTTTCAAGGGATCCCATCAGGAAAAATGGACAAAAAATCTAAAAAATATTTTGTCTCCGGATTTTAATGCACAATGGTGGCGAATCGATCCAGAAGTCGTTTAAGGTACTCCGCTTGAGAACCGGATGAGAATTTGGGAATATATAGCCATTACTGTGAACCCAATAGGGAAAACTGCATTTTCAAGGGATCCCATCAGGAAAAATGGACAAAAAATCTAAAAAATATTTTGTCTCCGGATTTTGATGCACAATGGTGGCGAATCGATCCAGAAGTCGTTTAAGGTACTCCGCTTGAGAATCGGATGAGAATTGGGGAAGATATAGCCATTACTGCGGACCCCATAGGGAAAACTGCATTTTCAAGGGATCCCATCATGAACAATGGACAAAAAATCTAAAAAATATTTTGTCTCCGGATTTTGATGCACAATGGTGGCGAATCGATCCAGAAGTCGTTTAAGGTACTCCGCTTGAGAACCGGATGAGAATTTGGGAATATATAGCCATTACTGTGAACCCAATAGGGAAAACTGCATTTTCAAGGGATCCCATCAGGAAAAATGGACAAAAAATCTAAAAAATATTTTGTCTCCGGATTTTGATGCAGTATGGTGGCGAATCGATCCAGAAGTCGTTTAAGGTACTCCGCTTGAGAATCGGATGAGAATTTGGGAAGATATAGCCATTACTGTGGACCCTACGGGGGAAGACCGCATTTTCAAGGGATCTCATTGAAAATGAACAATAAAGGATAGCTTACTTCGGGCGGAGCCGAAGTTTATATACTCTTGCAGTTAAAACCGGATGTATATCGCAAACATCGGATATAGTTGACCGATCCTTATGGGAATATGAATATCCAATTTATGAAATCCAATTTATTACAATACAAAATCTAAAAAAAGTCCCAAACTTCTATCTTCAAAAATTCCAAATTTGGCATTTCTACTAAAAACCATTTCCGATCGTTTAGTTATATGGCAGCTATAGAATATAGTCGGCCGATCCCGACTTATTTACTGCGTGCAAAGGAAAGAAGGGTGTGTGCAAAGTTTCAAGACGATAGCTTATAGCATACAGACGGACATATTTATATTAACTCAGGAGGCGATCCTGATCAAGAATATATATACTTTATAGGGACAAAGTTATAATACCCTCTGCAAGAGTATAAAAATATAAAGAAGTTGTGACCGATGTGACCCACAACATGATTTTCGCCAAGAGTCTACCAATCCTTCTACCAAGGTTGTAAAGGCTTACTGGACTAAATGATATATGGTCACACTTGTCGCATAATAGTGTTGAATAACAGTAAAAATAGCCTCCAGTTAAATAATTAATTGAAACATGCATTTTTTGTCTAACTTTGGTTATAATTTTATTCATTATCTTAACTTGTTCTTGCTTCTATCATTCGTTCTGCCATGCTCCGATCTTTCAAGAATCATACATTATATCATCATAGTGCCACCTCTGGGCTTAGCTCTTCACATTTTTATAGCATAGATTGAGAAATTATTCATAGTTTTATGTTGTGTATGTTATGTGCAATTTATATATTAAACATGTAGTATAATTTATGTAGCATACAAAAAAAATAGCTAAAAAAAAATAAACAAAAAGACATCGCTCCCGAAAATGGTGTGTGGGCATCTTTGGATGCCACCGTCAAAAAGGGTTTCTTTCGATTTCTTCTTGGTCTCCGAATTATTCGTAATCTGCTCCACATATGGAGCCATCTCCCTGCTCTTCCTGGTCTTCTATTTCTTTGGTGGTGCTTGGTGCTGCTGCTGCTGCTGGGTCTGTTGCTGCTGCTGGGCCTGTTGCTGGGTCTCGTAGCGCTGCCGCAGGGCGGTCAGGGCGCTTAACAGCCGGCTGTTGGCCGCGTCCAGTGCCGCTATCTGCTGGCCCTGCTCCTCGATCACCCGCTGCTTGTGGGACAGTGCCAGCGACATCTTGAGCTGCTCGCGACGCAGTTCCTCCTCCATGGTGATGAGTCTGTGGATGCAGCAAACAAAAACATAAGTTTGGAATTATGGCGACCGTGACACTACTAGTTTTCAACACACTTTCTTAACAGACTTTCTAACTTCATCCTTACCTGTCGATAATGCTGCGCATGGTGGACTCGGACTGTAGGCTCAGGTTGTTGGCTCCGTTGGAGCCATTTTGTCCGGCCGGGCGCTGCAAGCCGAACAGCTCGTCACTGGAGTCACGCAGCTCGGCCTCGTCCCGGTCGAGGGTGTGCCGGAGCGTGTCCAGCGTCTGCTGCAGCAGCTGGATCTCTCCGTTTTGGTCATAGCCCTTGCTGAGGCCGGCCTGATCCTGGCCCGGAACGCCGCCACTTCCGCCCCCGTTGCTGCCGCCGCTGCTGCGCAGGTGGCGACGTCGTTTTCCCTCCTGCAGTTGGTTGCAGTGTCCTGGAAAGGTAACAGATACCCCCTGTTAGAGATTGGTTCCTCTAGGATCCCCCAGTTCACACTCACCCTCTGTATCCGTGCTACTGTCCGAGAGCGTGCGTGCCGAGTCCAGGCTAAGACGCCGCTGGGCCGCCGAGTTGCCGGCACCACTGCCTCCTCCGTTGCCTCCAAACTGCTTCAGTTCCTGCTCCCGCTCTCGTTCGCGCTCCCTTTCTCTCTCCCTCTCGCGCTCTCTGTCCCGCTGATGCGGGTGCTGGACACCGCCCCCGGGCGTGGCCATTCCGTAGCCCAGATTTCCGCTGCTCCCGCCGTAGCCACTGCCGTAGACATCCTCCCGCTTGAGGGCTCCGTTCAGGCGCCCGTAGGCTGCCGAGGCCTTGCCCAGATTCGAGGTGGAAGCGGAGGTGGAGGAGCTGCTGCCGCCGCTCAGAGATCGCTGAGCTTCCAGCTTGGAGGCGGACATGCCAGCACCGGCTGCCGCTGCCGCCGCATAGGTGTAGTAGTTGTCCGCCGAGAGTTGCTCGTCCGAGGAGCTGGGCGTCAGGGTGGCCGCGTCCAGGGTACCGCCGCTGTTTAAGAAGGCAGCCCGGGCCGCCACCAGACCTCCGCCCAGGGGCTTCAAGCGCTGGCTAGAGAACTGCTCCCGATTGCCGCCAGAGACTACCCCACCACCGCCACCGCCTCCTCCTCCGTTGCCTCTTCCCGTCGATCCTGTCGAGCTCTGGTTGGGCTGCAGCTGGTAAGAGGGATTCTTGAAGGCCAGCGGCGCAATGTGACCCATCGCTGCCTTCAGCTGGCTCTCCACGGGACTGGAGGACTGCGAGGGCGACGGATTGGTGGAGATGCTCTGGTAGCCGGAGCTGCAGTGGCTGCTCTTCGCGGACAGCTGCTCCTTGCCGGGATTACTGCCGTTCTGGGGCTTCAGCAGGTGGCTCTGGCTCATGGGATGCAGCTGGTGGTGGTGGCCGGCCATGGCCGACTGTTCCGCCACGTCGTGCTCCTCGGCGTACTTGAACAGATCGTCCAGGTCCTCCAGATTCTTGGGCATATTCGAGTTGGGATTCAGGCTGTTGCCGCGGGCATAGTGACCCCCGGAATGATCGGGAATGCCCAGGTTAAGCTTATGCCTTCCCCCGCCCCCCTGGCCACCGGCCGCCCCCATAGACTTCATCATCGGGGTGGGGGACTTGCAGACGAAGGCACTGCTCGTGTCCAGGCCAGAGATCTGGATCTGGAACTCCCCATGCATGTCGTCGTAGCTGCCACTCTGGTTGTTGTTATTGTTGTTGTTGTTGTTGGTAGTGGTGGTGGTGTTGGCCATGTTGTTGGCATTCCTTGGCAGTGTCCTGGATCGGGTACTGGATGGAGTACTAGTAGCCTCGTAGTCGTTGCCATTGTTGCCGTACATGGGATAGTTGAGGCGATCCATGCGCTCCATGGTGCTGGAGGCGCTGGTCTGGGGCGCCGGCGGGCAGTGATGGCCCGGATGCAGCTGCTGGGCGTGGTGATGCAACAGGTTGCTGCTGCTGCCGTTGAGGGATGACGACGCCATCGATGTCTGGGACTGGGCGTGCTGCAGGCCACCTCCGCCACCTCCTCCTCCTCCGCCGCCGCCGACGGGTGAGCTGATGAACTGGTTGCCGGCAATGGAGGTCTGCGAGTTGGACAGGAGCGAGTTGAAGTGTTGCTGGTGGATCTGTTGCATCTGCATCTGCTGCTGCTGCTGCTGCTGCATCTGCTCCTGCTGCAGCAGGCCAAACACGGTGGGATCATTGTACCGGAATATGTTCTTCTCCAGGGAGTTCGGCGTGAGGACGCCCCTCATGATGCCCCTCTCCGCCGACAGTGGCTTGCTCACGATCGCATGCTGCGGCTGCGCCAGCTGGCTCTGCTGTTGCATCAGCTGCTCCGGATTGGAGGAGCCCGCCACTGGAACCGATCCGGAATTGGAGCCAACGCCGCCCGGATTGCGGTTCTCCTGGTTCTCACTGGCTATCGAGTGGGTGGACGATGTGGCTGGCAGGTAGCCGCCCGGCAGAGCCATGCCCAGGTTGCCCTGCTCCTTGGCGCGCGTGATCTCGTCGAGAATGTGCTGCAGGGGGTCCAGCTCGTGCTGCCTGGCCTCCGGCAGCTTGGCCAGGCTCTCGCTCAGCAGGCTGTGCAGGATGGACAGCTGCTTACCCTGGTCGATGTAGCCCGCCCAGTCGAGTATCGAATCGGGGGCAGGGTGCTCCGGCCGGGTGGAGATGATCTCCAGAAACTGCTGCATGCGTCCCGCCTCCTGCTCGAGGAAGTCGTTGAGGAACTCCATGAAGTTCTCCTTGCCCTGGAACCGCGTAAAGTTGGCCAGGGTCTGCAGGGTCTTGGCCACCAGGGTCAGGTTGCGGGTGGCCCGCGCCGACGGCAGTTCGCTGGTGATGTTGAAGAGCGACGGCGACAGGATCGCGGGGCACAGGAAGCGCAGGAAGATGCTGGCCGAGATCAGGTTGTCGGCCATGTCCTGGCGCCCCAGCTGCTGCAGCCGTTCCCGGAACGTGGCGAAGCAGTTGCGCAGCTGGGCGGGGAAGTGCTTGTGCGACTCGAAGATGCACTGCCACGCCCCCCGCACTGCACTGCGCAGAGCGGCCTGCTGGCGCTGCAGCGATCCGGCCGAGGAGCCGGTGGCCTTGGTGGGGTCCACCTCGCAGTCGCGCTCCGACTGGATCAGCTCACAGATGGGGGTCGAGAGCGTGTCCTGGAGATACTGCTCGCCGGTCAGCTTGAGGAAGGCCTCCATGCTCTTGGTGGCCAGCGAGTTGCCGCGGAAGGTCAGTCGCTGGTCGCCGACACGGAGCAGGTCGAGGGCCACCACGTCGGTGAGAAAGGCGCCGGCCAAGCCCTGGGCGTGCATTAGCAGGACGAGGGCCTGGCCAATGTCCTCCTTGGCCTTGACGCCGATGACCGGCTCCAGGGTCTCGCACACCTTCTTGTAGTTCTCCTTGAGGTAGGCCAGGAAGTTGGCGTAGATGTTGATGGGCAGGATGTCGGTGCTCTGGAAGCGGCACTTGATCCGCAGCGTCGGCACCTGCTCCTTCTCCTTGGAGCTGCCGCCCCCGCCGCCCGACTGCCGTCCCAGGCTGTCGCCGGCCTTCTCGCTCAGTATCGGATACCAGTGCTCGCAGGGCAGCCTCGAGGTCACCTCATGCACTGGGATCTTCACGGAGCCGACGAACTGGTACTTGTCGCGCTTCTTCTTCTTGTCCACCTCACGGAACACGTTCACGGTGATGACATTGATCTCGGGGATGTCCGGGAAGTCGAAGTGCTCGCCCCAGAAGAGCAGGTCCGTTTGCAGCTTGACGGAGGTCCGGCCGTAGAGGGTCTTGTCGAGCTGGAGCTCGCAGAAGTAGCGCTTCTTGGGCGGCAGGTTCTTGGCCTCGTAGACCCACATCTTGAGGGAGTTGTCGGTGCGCCGGGTGTGCTCGGCGTTGGGGGCTATCGACTTGCGCAGCGAGTAGATCCACAGGTCGCGCTCCTGGCGCGATCCGCACGAGTAGTACCGCTCGCCCCGCGGCCCGCCGCGCACCTGGAAGCAGTGCCTGCGTCCCAGCACCGACTGATGCACCGGTGCCACGCCCACCGCTCCCGTGCACGAGAGATCTGCAAAGGATTAGGATGTAGTTGGAAGTCTCAAGAGAGAGAAGTGGACCACTTACCAATGGTGGACATGACGGCATGGCTGGACAGCAGACTCTCGTGGGAACGGGAGCCCCTCAGGCCGCCAGAGCCGCGCTTGGTGCGCTCCAGTTTGGTCACCGACTTGGTCCGCTTCAGGGGATTAGACCTGGACGAAAGAATGGGCTATAGAACTGGGATAATGGGCTGTGATGGATACTCACTTTTTGGAAAAGAAATTTGTGAACCTGGAGGTAGCATTGTGCTCCGTCTGATGCTGTTTGCTGCCCAGGATGGGCGTTGTGGGTGCGGATCCGCGGCGGCAAGCCTTCTCGTAGGAAGTATCTGCAAGGAGGAAAAACAAAGGATGTTCGCATTAGATCCGGATTAAGGCAGTTGACCCCTCCCCCCTCAAGTAATCCCGACCCTCTCCGCCGCATTCCACAAAACTGAAATTTTTTTGCGTAAATCGGCTTGGGTTTTCGGAGGAAACCGGTTCGGTTCGGTCCCGCTCCTCGGTTCTCCCTCCTCCTCCTCGGCCCGACAACAAAAGAAACAATAAGGAGCTGCAGCAGCTGCTCGACAAATGATCCAAAGCCCAAAACCCAACTCGGCACTGTGGCATCACCTGCCGCAAAAAAAAAAAAAAAAAGAAGAAAAAAATTTCAAAACAAAAATAACAACAGCCGGAGTGGTAGTTTGGAGTGGCAGGGGCAGCAGGGGCAGGTACCCATGATTCATCATGTGCCTCATTACCGTGGCAAGATGCTCGCATCAGATACACTCGAAAAAAAAGAACAAAATACAACGCATTTCAAACCAGAAAGAGTCTGCTTTTTGCCCAAAAAACCTGTTGGTTTGAATATCAAATGCAGTTCAGATGAGATTCTTCAAATGTCAGGCTGTGATATCGATGACTAAATCGATTACATAAGCCTTTACTGTTATTTATCAAAATAATCAGTAATTAATCGAATTATTTTAAATCGTAATTGTAAATAATAATCATATTTTTGTTATAACAAAGACTCTTTATAAGCTTCTTAATCCACATAGCCCATTTGATTCATTTTTAAATGATATTCTTGATAATTTATCGATAAAAACGATAAGCCCATAACCCTAGGTTTAAAATACTTCATTGTTGGTATTGTTTCTTTTTGTAGAAACGCATTTTCAGAGACTTTTGAATTTAAAAACCCCTTTTTCCTTTTGGAAGGAAAAATAATAAAAAGTATCTTAAATTCAGACATCGATTTTATCGATAAATTACTGAAATATTGCATTAAAACATGGAATTTGCCTTTAAGAAGTCTCTAAAAATGCTATTTAGGTGTGTAAATTAAGTGTCCTACACCTACTGTTTAGGTCTCTAAAACCCCTTATCTATGAAGAGAAATGCTTGAATTTTTAATTATGGCTTATAGATCTGATCGATAAAACGTTGAAATATATATTTTGTTGTTAAAAGATTAACTATGTGGTTAAAAAAGTCATTAAAAATGAGAGACTTCCCATTTAATGCAATTTTAAAAAAACTTATCGATAAAACCGATAAACCTTAGTTAAAATAAAACTTGATTCTAATCATTTTTCTTTAAAATTTATAATAAAAAAAGCTTCTTTCTTTTTTAAAGAGACTTCCCTACCCCACCAGCCCTGCTTTAGGCACTTTTTCAATAACTTATCGATAAAATCGATAACTCGCAGATAAAAATACTTCCTTTCAGGTACAATTCTAGTAATTCATAGGGCAAACCTAGTTTTTGAGAACATTTTCTCTTAGTGAACCCCTGTAACTGAAGGTAAACGGGAATCCGAGGCCCAAAAACAGGTTTCTTCGTCTCTGTGGCATCGCCATCATCCTTCCCCGTTGGCTCTTTACATCGCCGCCCGCATAAAGTGCGGTCCACAAAGGAACATCAAGAAGAAAGACGGTAGACTGGAGACTAGAGACCTAGAGGGTACACACAGCCTAGAGAAAACAAAGCGACCTTGTCGAAGGCAGGCCAGGCCACCTACAAAGTACAGTAGTATGGGGGGATGGGTTGCTTGGATTTCTGGGATTTGTTGGATTTGATGAGTTGAACGATGGCGGAGGCGGAACCCCGAGTAGAGAACACATCCGCACACACATCCCGTGACTCATCTGGGGCTGGGAGGGAAAGACACCATTTCTTTGGCAACCTCCCCTTGATTTTTGATGGCGATGGCATGCAAAATGGTCATTCATTCATTTTTTATGAGCCTCGGACTGGGCTCGTCTTCCGGAGTTCATCAGTTCACAGGTTGATTCATTTCAATGGCCAGATGCAAACATACTGATTTGTCATTCACTCCAAAAAAAATTGTGTCATTTTATAAATTTTTGATTCAAAAGAAGCCAGCCCCACACACACGCAACCGATGGGCAACTTCTATTAATACCCGGACCCGGAGAAGAGCTGTGCGGCCGTCTGGGGCACAATTTATGAAATATTCCTATATAAGATCAAAACTCGTTGATGAGCAACTGTATCATCATCTTAATCTTCACCGCCCGTTGAGCAAAAAGCAAAAAAAAAAAACAAAAAAAAAGCAAACAAAATCCAAAAGGTGAGACGAATATGGCGCATTTATGCCGTTTTTGTACCAGGTGGGTGTTCCACGCCCCCAGAGATATGCCAAATCTAGAATATAGGCTTGCTAAGCCCAAAAAAGTAAATAAATAAATAAATAAAAAAGAAGCCAAAGCAAAAAATCCATAAAGAAGCAAAAAAAAGGAAAAAAATAATTTCTATGAAAGGATTTCTGGTATATAAGAAACGGATCTTATCTATGCGGAACCATATATACGTATATATATATATATATATATGTACAGTTATACAGTTATGTATACTTTTTCTCATATTTTCCAACCACAATCTAGGGCAAAACTAGAGCTTATCATATTTCCCAAGCAGGGAATGGGGGAACGATTATGCTTTATTGCAGCAGTTTCCTTCAGAAAGGCCTGGCAGTTTTATTTTAGAGCCAACCTCTTATTGGAGAGGTCAATCGATGAGGTCTCGAGACTCTAGCAAGGGTTATAGTAGTATTTTTTGACCAAAAAAAGTTGATTTGCCTTTTTTAATATTTCTTTCGAAGAGAACTTAAGCTACTTTATGGTAATTGTTATTTACTGAATTAGTGGCTACTTTTAAGAGGATAATGTTGAGTAAAATCATGTAAAATTATCATGTAAATATATTTCCCTAATTCCACTTTTGTAAAATTTGTAAGAAAAGAGCTACTTTTCGGTGATCTCGCTTTTGTCTGCTTGGAATATTTAAAATCCATAAATGAAATCCATCAAAATAATGGGTTAAGAATACATCAATGCAGGTAATGAATGAAAAGTTTTAAAGAACTCCCATTTTTGACAACATTTTGCTGAAACTTTTCAACTAAATTGTCGACTAAAATTGGTAATACCTTTTTGAAATCAAATTCCTTTGTTTATTACTTCGGGAATATATTCATAAAGATAGTGTAAAAATTTCAGACCAAAATCGAGATCACCGCCTTTAGAAACTCCGTTTTAAGAAAAACGCACCTAGTACCCTTTGCTAACTTTAGCTGGTACCTTTAGCTAACCAATAGCTCTGAAATATATATCGGATTAAGTTCAAAATTGAAAAAGACATGTACATATGTATCTTAGAACAAAGTACAAAAAATGTAGATCTTTTTTAACATCCTAACTGCGCATAGCCCCTTAAAAAATAGTTTATTATCTGCTTTGAAAATGTTTAAATTTTATTCGAGCTCTATGTACCTCAGACCAGACTTTTAAGCTCGCTCATAATTAATATTTAATTTTAAAATTGAAAACTTTAAACTCCACTCCACTTTAAACTAACTAATACCTCAATCCTAACCGCTTACCTTAAGCCCAGTGCTCTATAAGGTCTGGTCAGGTCTAGTTGGCTTATATAGTGCGATGAAGTCAGCGGAGATCGGGTTAGGGCCTATTACACACATGATCTGTGTGTAATCAAGCTTTTTTTTTTTTTGGCCAGATCACCAGAGATGACCATGCCACCGGACCTCAGACCCCATTCACGATTGCTCATCTGCTTGAGTCACAGTTCTTGGGTATTTTGTTGGATTTTTGGGAAAGCATTTCTTTGAGATAATTAAAACGGATTTAAGTGAAAAAAAAAATAAGAGAAAAAGAAAGCAGTCATTGATTGATACCCTTGGGCAGATGCTAACTGTGCGATAAGGTCAGGCGGCCGGGCCGCCTCAATTATCGCCGAGACGGGCTCTGGCTCTGATAAATGAAACTAGCCACCGATCGTGGCAGATATATGGCCCTCCACAGGCCCGAGACTCTATCTCACGAATGTCAACACACACTCTCCGGTGAGTGATGTGATGTGCCGGGATCTCCACCTCCCCTAACCCTCCTCCGATAAGGTATCATCAATCAATAAATATTAATATTTGGCTTTCTTCCAGACACATCCCCAGTCTCAGTCCCGGTCTCAGTTGCAGTCTCTGATAGAAAATTATAAACATTTCGACCCTTGTCTATCATAAAATATTTTCCCATCGTCGTTCGTCGCTTTATCGACATGCTTATAAATAAAAAATAAAATAAATAAAAATAACAAATATGGTTTGAGAAGTGTTTGGTCCTCCTTATCGCCTCACAAAAAAAAATAAATAAAGAAAAGCTGGAGCCACTAGAGTAAGATGGCGTCTAGGGGGAGATCATGTTTGCTGGCTCTCGAGACTTGGGGTCTCGGATCTTGGGGTCTTGTGTAACTCATCAAAATAGAAATATTATAGAGCCATCCAGCTTTATTAGCTAACAAAGATAAATTAAAATGCAGTTATTAATACTGAGTTTTGATAGTCAAAATATTATATAAATATTCCCAGGGGATTGGGGATTAGGATTACTAATTTAATTGATTTTATTTGCATAGTTGTGGAAATATTGTTTATATTCTTTGAGATTATTAGTTGGGGGACTTGGCTGATATAATGTCTGTTTAGTTCTATCGTAGGGAATATAATAATACCGTTTTAATATATATTTCAAAAGTTAGACTCCAATTTTGATACCAAATATAAAAGAAATTCAAAATAAGATTTATATTTCCATTTAGATAATGAAATAGAGGAAATTAATAATAAGAGTTATTTTGGAATTGTTTTTCAAAAATCAATAATAAGAGTTACTATTTTTTTTAAGTTTTATAGCTCCCTAATCTCCATTAGTGACTACTATAAGGTGTACTATGTTTAGACAAATTTTGGTCTAATTTTCCTAACTATTCTGCAACTACCCGACTTTCTAAGTTCAATAAGGTACAACTAGGGGAGTATTTCTGGATCTATGTTTCAACAATTAAACATCCCATCTAAAATTTTTGATCCTATTCCATTGAAATTCAAAACCAAAACTATTTGAACTATTTGAATTTAAAAAAATAATAATACAATCATCTAAAGTATGTGTGTTAGAATTATTAACAAAAAACAGTATCTTATTTCTCTCATTTTTTAAAGAATGTAAAATCTTTGATGCCCATTTGTAGTTGCTAATGCTTTTTACTTGTATAATTAATGGTTAATAAATTATATCTATATTATGGTTTAAAATTAATAATATTTAATACTTTAATTTATGTATATATAATAATTTTGTGCTATTTATTTGTTTGATAATCCTTAATTTTCAAATAAATAAATTGATATACTATGTATAAATTGAAGTATTCTACTACTAATATATACTACTATATTTAGTTCATTATTATTATTTCTTCAGGATTTTCTTTATTCCTTAAGTTCATCAGTAGGATTTCTTTCATTAAGGTAAGAAAACTATCAAATATTTAGATAGTTAGATAGTTAAGATATTTGGTGTCTAATTATATAGGGTTCTAACTATTATTTTTATTGATTTTTAGATGATTTCTTTAATTAATTTTCTTCTTAAATAAGTGCTCCCTTATTTTAAAGGGTTTCCTTCCCTACAACCTTAAAAACCCTTAATTTTATTGAAAACCCAAGCCACTGCATCTGGAAACAAAGCCAAAACAAGAGCCAGCCATAATTTCGTCTCATTTTTTTCTCGAATAAAGCGACTCGTTTGTAGGTATACCCCTCCTCCCCTCCTCCCCTCCTCCCACTCCGCCCTCTGTCGGCACTCTGTCCTGCTCGCACTCCACAACAAACTGGTTTCTGGTGCGGGTGTGTGTGAATCATATTAAAATAACAAAAAAAAAAAAAAAAAGCGGCAACGAAATTGAAATTGTGGCCAGCACGACCACCCTCTCTCCGATCTCGAGAGAGAGAGAGCGAGAGAGCGTATAAGCCGAAAGACGCCGCACAGTGGAACTGAAACGGATCTGAACGATCGACAATTGGCCATAATCGACGATGGGCTGCTTCTTTAACGGTTTCTCCGTAATCCCCCCCACCCCCCTAGAAGTCATTGTAATGCAATGGATTGGATGGCCTATTCCAAGTATAGAAAACTGATTCCGATTCAATGGCCAGCAATGGGAGAAGAGAATAGAAGACAGCCCGCAGAAGACAGAACACAGAACACAGAAGACTGAAGAATAGATTCTTGGAATAAAAAATCAAAATGCAATGGGATGCACACTACTCGAGCATTACATTATTTCCTTTCTCTAATCACTTTCCTATCGAATCACCAATACATCCATATATACATATGTATATATATCATATATATCATATACATACATACATACGCCCATGGTGCGACGCTTCAGTGCCCTCCAGGGCCATCCAATTGAGCTACAATTGAGCCGCACAATTGGGGTACGTTCGAAAAGAATGTACATACTGATACATTGTATATATATATATATATATAGAAGGGGGAGGCTCACCTCCGATCGTGTGTAAATAAAGTAGCAAACGTCGCAAAAGAAACGCACAGGAAGGCTTAATAAAAGCCGCCAGAAAGTGTGAAGAACGCAAGAAACACAAAAAAACACAAAAAAACCAAAAAAAACGAAAGAGAGAGGAAGGGAAACAGCTGCGGTCAACATAATAGCCCTTACAACATCTGGCCATAAAATAAAAACCCGCGCTATAGCCCGACCCGACCCATTAAATGCTGTAATTTACGCAGCTCTAATCACTTTTTTTTAATCACTCCTATGCCTATTAGCAGGAGACGGTGGGCTATCCAACATTTGGAACCCTTGTCCTTTGTATAGTTTAGTTATAGGGTTTAGTTGTAGATCTCAGAAGAGGTTATAGAGGTCAAGAGGTCAGAGAGTATAGCCTAAAGAACTGTAGGGAGTTCTTAATAGTTGGCTAAAGAATCCATGTTACTAAACATCTTATAGAGGATAGTTTCTTATAGATGATAAAGCTTTTATTGCTCTATAGCGATATTTAGATATTTCAAAAGATTATCTTAAAGATCTTTGAGATAATATCGTAACTTCAAATATAAAATAAACTTCCAAATAACTGAATCAGTAATCTTCAAATCCTGAATATTCAAGGTTCTGATCCCTTATCCTTATCCCTAAGAATGGTTTCTTGTCCCTCATAGTGCTTATTATAATATATTATTATATTTTGAAAGGTTATCTTGAAGATCTATAACATTTAAAGCTAAAAAGATAATATAAGGTTTGCAATTATTCTGAATAAAGTAAAAAAGTTTCTGAATAACTACGTTTTAAATTCTTGATCCTTATATAGCATTGTTATAGATCCCTTATAGCGCATATATTAAGGTACTTCAAGACTTTTAAAATTAAACCTTGAAGAACTTAGACGACTTTATGACCCAAAAGATAATATAGTTTCCCAAATAACTGACTAAAAAATTCAAAATTGTGGATATTCCAGTTTCGGGTTCTTTTATATAAGGTTCTGATACTAATAGGGCCTTAATAACAACATTTCTTAAGGAATTTGAAAGTAATCTTGAAAATCTAAAAGATTATAACTAAAAACATGCTATAGTGTCTGGATAAATAATGCAAGTTTTTGGATATCCAAATTTCTGATTAAATACATCCCCATATAACGTTTACCCAGACAGTTTGTAACTTAATATTTCAAAGTTTAAATCAAAGAACTAAGAAATTATAGCTAAAAAAAAAAGAAACTCTAATATAGTAAAATGTAGTGTACTATATATGGTTTATCTAAAAAAATTGTTTTAATAATCTTAAATTTTGATATATACAAGTTTCTAATATTTTTATTCTTTTATATAGGGTAGTTTCTAAACCCTTATAAATAGAGCTTATATTTTCTCAAAGAATCTATTAAGGTAATGTTGAAGAACTAATAGATAATAACTCAAATCATGGTATAGAATTCTGAAAAATTGATAAAATAATTCAAGTTTCTGGATATTCAAGTTTCAACCTTTAAAAGTATATATAATACTCTATAAGTTGGTATACCCCTAGAGCTAATATTACAATATTCCAAGAGCTAATCTCAAAGATCTGAGAGATTAAAACCAAAAAGATTAAATAGAGTTCTCTCAGTAACTAAATAATACTCAATTTTTCAATGATTATTATAATAATTCTATAGATCTCAAGATCCCCTATAAGATCTATAAAATATTCACTCATCCCCAACAAAATTTTGTTATAAACTCCACATATTCCCTTAAAGACAACTGGTCCTACACCATTGACCTCTGCTGTACTTGCAGGGGCATCAGGGGCGGAGGGTGGAGGGTGGACACGGTACTATCTTATCGTGACCCTGCCCAGATAGAGGAGGAATACCGAAGCAAACGTGATCGTCGTGCTCGATACATAAACCCCATTGTACGACACCCGGGGATCGTTCGATCGAATCGGGGGTTGGTTTTCCTTCCCCTTTCCCCTTCCCGGGGGGAGGGGGAACCGGAAGTCCATTTCGAGCCACCTACCAGAATGATGTCCTGCATCGTCATCCGCCGCAGCCGTGACCGTTGCCGTTGAATCTCCGGTTTCGTTGACAGAGAGATCCCCTCCAGCTCCAGCTCCAGCTCCCGATACGGATACGGATGTGGAGGCCAGGTGTATGGCCAGATCCTTGATCTTGAAGCGCTCGCAGATCAGCTCCTCGCAGTGATCCGCCTGGAAGTAGCAGTTGAGCTCGTCCAGGCTCAGGGGGCAGACGTCGTAGGGCTGGTAGAAGTGTTTCCCCCAGCTGCCGTAGCCGCTGGAGCTGTCGCTGCCACCACCCCCTCCACCCGCACAGCTGGACAGGGATCCCTGGTGCATGGCGCCGCCGGTAGCAGCTATACCGCCCCCGATGCCGCACACCGCGCCCCCTTGGAGGCCGCTGTTCTGGCCGGACTTGAGGAGGGAGTTGCTTCGGGATACTTTGGTGGAGTGGGCGCGCCGGATGAAGCTGAGGGACTTCTTGGGGGGCGAGGCGATGGCCGCAATGGGCGGTGGCGCGGCTGCCACGTCCGGTGACAGCTTCGGCGTCGACTTCAGCAGGAAGAGGTTCTTCGGCGGGAAGCTGTGCGTCAGTATGGAGGTGGCCGACGAGCTGTTCTGCAGCTTATACGGCGACCCGGACACTAGTCCCGATCCGAACAGCTGGCGTTGCTTTTCGCGATTCTCGCGATCGTGGTCGTGGTGCTTCTCCCGGCTTTCCCGCTTGCGCTCCAGCTCATCCAGAGCCGCCGCCTCTCGCAGTACAACTGAGGGCGATAGGTTCTGCGGCAGAGTCTTCGACTTGGCCCGGAGTGTAATCGTTGTCGTGGTCGTAGTCGTGTTTTTATTAGACGGCGATGACGTCACTGCTGACGCTGCCGTTGACGCCAGACCCCTTTCGACGGAGGGCAGCGGCACGGCCAGTATATTGGTTCGCGACCTGGACTTCATCAGCTTTATCGGCGTCGAGGTATTGGTTTGCATCCGACTAATCTCCGACTCATCGTCGTAGTCGTGGGCCATGCCGGTGCTCTCCTGGGCCTTCGGCTTGGGCGGCGTGGCCAGGACTATGTCGTTGTCCTCGTTGAAGTGGGTGCGGGGTGCCGCTGTGGGCGGCAGCGCTGGAACTGCCACCGATCCCGATTCCCCGTCACTGCCGTTCAGGCTGATCACGTTGAGGACGATGCCGTAGCGCTTCAGTTTGGAGGGCGAGGAGGAGGAGTTGGCGGCGGCGGCGGCACTGCTCGCGATGGGCAGGGACTTGAGGAGCTGCTCCCGGTGGCGCGCCTCCGAGGAGTTCTCCTCGTCCTCGTCCGAGTCCGAGTACTGGCCGGCGTTCTCCGAGCCACTGATGCTCCAGTTGAAGCCGCAGGGTGGCGACATCTTCGGCGTCGCCGAGGATGACTTCCTCTCGAAGAGGGCGTTGATCTTGGCCACGCCGCTCTTCACCGAACTCCCCGACTTCCGGAGGCTGTAGTTCCGGGCCGACTTGCTCTCCGAGCTGCTGCTCAGGCTCGAGTTGCTGGCCGACTTCTGGGGCAGGTCCTTGGGCTGCTCCTCGCCTTCCTCCTCGTCCTCGATCACCAGCGGCACATAGAATGTCGATCGTCTCCGTTGGGTCTTCTCTTCCGGTGTTGCCACCACTGTCACTGCAGTGTTGTTGTGATCCGTACTCTGATCCTGGTTTGTTGTACCTACTATTGTTGTTGTTGTTGTTGTTGTTGCTTCACAAGCCGCCTGCAACATTTTGTGGGCGCCGTGTTTTTTCGCTCAGTGTAGGTCACACACACGCACACTCATATTTCACAAGAGAGCCCGAAAAAAAAGTGAGTGACAGAGAGAGAGAGCGACTCTGGAGTGAGAGAGGCTAGCAGGTATCTGGCTCTCTTTTTTTTTCTCCCCCCTTCCGCTCCCGTGTGTTTGTTGACGCTGCAGCGCTGCTTCTTGATCTTTTTTTTTTTTTTTTATTTTGCTGACTCTTAATTCTGGTGCTTCTTCTTCTATTTGTATTCCTTCTGTAGATTTGCTTTTTTTTTATTTTAATTTTTTTTAAGTGTGCGTTTGTCGCTTGGCTTATAAAAATTATGCGCTCAAGTGCATTTCCGCGTTTTTTTTTTTTTTGCTTCTTCTGCAGTGGCAGTGGTCGTGCTTTTGTTTTTGTTTATCGCTGCATCGCATCACATTGTCGCTTGGTTAAGTTTTTCTTTCCATTCTCTGTTGTTTTGTTTAATTTTGGTTTTTAGTTGCAGCAACCACACACACACACAAACATATACAAATAAGCAGATAGAGAGGGGCGATGCATGCACTAATACACACGCACTGCACGCATTGTTTTGTTTGCAGGAATGCGCTCGAATTTGGGTTATCTTTAAAATCCACAATTAAAACAACACCAACAACACTCGCCACAACAATTTAGAAAAAACAGAAAAAAAAAATAAATAAATCCGAAAACAGGACAACGAACTTCGCGGAAAATGGCCAAAAAAAACGACGCGCACGCGCTTCGGGAGAGCGCCAGGAGCTGTCGAAGAGGATCTGTTATGCTAATTACTCGGCGACTGCAACCGTTTTTGGTTTGAAACAAACAAAAAAAAAAACCGAGTACGTTTCGACCCGATCGCGATTCTGGCCTGAAGACCATCCGATTCGGTCGAGAAGTGGAAATATAGTAACCAAAACAGAGAGCCGATTCCTACCCTGATCTCGCAGGGTTGCCAGAGAGCCAGTGTTGCCAGCTGTTTCAGTTAAGACAAGCAACGGTTTTTTTCAAAGAAATATATAAGAAGAAAGGATTTTCTTCCATAAAATAGAAGGTTTACAAAAGCTTTTATTTATAAAAATATTAACTCTTATTTAAAACTCCTTTTTTATGTGTTTTATTTTAATAAAACGGTATAAAACAGGCAACACTATTTTGATCTTTGAGCTAGTCACCCTGTGGCTTTTACTTTAACTGCCACAGTCACCCTGTGTCCCTCTCTCTCACGATCAGTGCTCTCTTTTATCTTTCTATGAGTGCGAATGAGATAGCTTATATGTGTAAGAGTAATAATAGTCTTGTAATTAAAATAAAAACACTGTAATTATAATACTCCCTTTCGCTAAAATGTATGTACCAATGGGCTAAGAGGAATCATAACAAAATATACTAATTCTATGGGAAAATATTACATTAACCCATATTAGTAATAATATCTTTTTAGGATTCAAAGGGTCTAATTTTTTAAATTTTGTTTAAAATTTAAGGTAATGGCTTTTAATACTTTATTTTATTATTTATATTTTTTTGTTTTTAAAAAGAACATTTTTTGTAAACACATTCAGACATGTTGCTCCCTTAAGGGTTAAGCAGGATGTCAGTAGATACCAGAGAGAGAGCCTAGCACTTTAAGAGAAGATAGCGGTTAAACTATACAAATTCCAAAGACCATCTAGAAAGATAAGAGAATTTTATCTTCTTGCCAATTTCCCGAACGAAATTAAACCATTTTTCTTTGTGAAAAGTAATTAGAGGAAATATTCAAGGAGCCAGTTGGTTTTAGCCGACTACATAATCGCACTTTTACTGGCTTTTGTTTCTTCTTCTTATTTTTATCTCTCTGGCTGGGCGAAAGCAATTGAAAAGTATCCCGCCGTGAGAGTTGACCCTACAGTGTCAATTTTCGACGCCAGACTCCCTGCAGGGCATTGATCGACGAATGCCGACCATGTGCCATATGCTGTATGCCGCATTCTGTATCTATGGAATACCGATAGATAGTATCTTTTTTTTTCCCCCCCCAAATACCCGACTTACTGGCAGAGTGTAAGAAATTGGATTGAAAAAAAAAGAAAAAGAAAAACCTACGAAACGAAGCGGAGACTACAAACTAAAGGCGAACGCAACATAAGGGCGTGAGTGGCAATGTGCCTCGTAATTGATCTAATTGAGAGCAGGTACAGATACACACACCGACACACTCGCACTTTTGTGTCTGTGTCTGCGTTTATGTAAATAAGATGCACAGTGGTGGTCAGGAAAATAGTGACAAGAAGAAAACTAAGTATCTTCATTTTCTATATTTACAGAAGCATGAAAGGGATTTTTGTTTAAAAAAATGTATAATTAATAAATTATAATTATTAAATTACAATTATTAATACAAATTAAATCCACCATATTCTTCCTGTGTTTGGTTAAGAAGACATTTATTGTTATATTTTTAAATTTAAACCACAATACTTTTCATAATATTAAAAAAAAAATGATTTTTCCCACAAAATAAGCTTTAAACCACGATCTAAGTTAATTATAGTAGAATTTTCCATATTTTTTTTTTAACAACCAATATTTTAAAGATTTTACTGAAGTTTTGAATATTTTCATACATATTTCCTTTTACTATAAATAAAAGAATATAAATAATAATATATGAATATTATTCTACATATTTTTTACTATAAAGTTCTAGTAAAGTTCGAACCCTGACCAATATTGAAAATAATTCGTATTCTTATGTATTGCAATTGTATTCAATATCTAACATTTATTATTATCCCTAAACAGTTCTGTATTTCTTATGATACAAATATTACTATTTTAATTTTTTTTAAATCAATATTTATTTTGAAGAACCTAAATTCTCAACCCCTAGTGTATGACTACTTAGGCAGCAGGGCAAACGCATAATACAAATTAGGGGGAACCCCGAGGCCGTTCCCTCGCGCGGTAACGCTCGTTACCTCCATTTGAATTTTTCCTTCTTTGGCTGCGGAAGTGCGTGACTATGGGGTTTTATGTGACACGTTCACCTCCTTCGCCAGTGCCTTTGAAAAAAAAATACAAAATAAAAGCGGAAGACTTGTTTATGGGCGACTCGAAAGTAACCATTCTTTCATTTCCCTACCCATTATATCCATGGGCATTATTAGCATAGGGCCGGGCCCAACGAACGGGGCTGGGAAACTCTCAGAGGGGTTGCGATACGAAAATACGGGTCGCACCAAGTAGGGGGCGAGTTGGTGCGTTTTCAACCCTTGACCACCGATCGTTATATAATCAACATCCTGTCACAAGAAATTCCGTTACATTAACATAACGGTGGTAGAAGAATGGCACTCTCAAGGTATGCAGCACAAAATACTGCAGCATACTTTTGGGACACAACAGAAAGTGCAGTATTTTTGTGTAGAAAAGTATGTAGAGTATGTAGAGTGTAGAGTTTGAATATTCAAGAGGAGAAATAGTTTAAATTCCTTTAAAAAAAACACAGAAATTAAATTAAAAACTGTCAAGCCAGTAACTGACGTTACTTAATTTATATCTCAATCAGTAGGTGATTGATTTAAAACTAGTTTCTGACAGGGCTTAGTCGCGGACTAAGATCGGAAACGGTTTGTAGAATCAATTACTATCATCTGGTCTATATAAATATTAATGATAGGAGAACCGGCACTATCAATCTCGAAAAGATATCTACTTAATTAATTTTCACTTGCAAATCAAACGAGTTTTGAAAAGTTGTCCCACCCAAAAACAGACACTCTTTGTCATAAAAAAACACTATGTGTGGATTATGGCTCAGATCAGTGTTGAGCTCATCGGGAATTAGGGGAAAAAATATAATATAATTTTTGTAGCTGAGCTGGCTTTAAAAAAAAGTCGAGCATTTGTGGGTTTCTAGGTCTGGTCTTCTGGGTTTTGGGTTCTGGTTTTTCATTTTTTTTTTTTTGTTGTAGCGCCACATGGTAATCGGGGGAACAATGTCGCGACATTGAGATGTGGATATACATACAAATAAGAGAGTAGCTGAGTAATTATTATATATATAAAAATATATATACATAGGGGAGTGCTGTTTCGATATTCAAGCCCTCAAACAATCAGGCTTGTTGTGTTGTGTTACCTTCGTTCAAAGATGTATCATTTAGCGCCGTATCGAAATGAATCCGAGGCAGTGTCTTCGATTTGTACTCACCTGTAATGACAAAAAAAAGCAAAAAGAAAACAATGAGTTTATATAAACATTAGACGGGTATTAAGTAATGTAGACTATCTTTAATTGGCAAGCCAAAGTAAGCATGTTGTCGACCCATTTACATGACCTGACCTCTGACTTTCTGACTCTTGTTGTGAATTCATTTCAATTAAATGCAAATTATAAATTGCTGGCGCGAACAAAAAAACACAACTAGAAAGTTAAAAAGCACTGGGCATGTGGGCCAAACTCATAAGTTGTGCAATTGTCGTAGGTGACCCGGGGGAGACCGAGATCTCCACTCTAGACGGCGTCTGAGTCGCCACTTTATACTTGACTCTACTGGGTTTCCCATCAACCCGTCATTATGCGTTGACACTTTTCCCAACACTCTTTTTTTTCGTTTTTTTTGCTGCATTATCTACTTTTCCGCGGGTCATCACTCCGTAACTGTGTAACTGTAAAAATTATGCCGCCACACAATTGACTTCAAAGCGGAATGACCGAACGACCCCCAGAGATCCGTCAGATACCATCCATCTGCCCAGCAATGATGATTGCGGATTCTCGATGATGTCACATCCGTCATTCCCTCCATCCCATCCATCCACCCATCCATCCTTCCCTTCTTTAGGAAGAACTCTCCTCTTCCGAATTTTTTATTTCAAGGTTATAGTTTTTTAGTTCCAAAGGTTCTATTATTTTTAATCTTTATATATTTTTTGCTGGTATATTTATAACTAATGAATTTTTGGTTTTTTTCTATTTTTATCAGCATGTTTACATTTTTGTTCAATGAATAATGAGTAAGCGGATCGGATATATAGTTAAATTTTTGAAATTTCAAAGTTATTTTAGAGGGTTTTTTTAAGAGAAGAGGTTTGATAAAAATTATAGGCAATATAGTATTTATAACTTATAAGTTAATACAATTTTGTATTCATTTTCCAAAGGCGTTACTAAACTAAAAATGTATTAAGTTTTCAAATAAGGGTTTTCCAAAAATGTATTCATATAAGGGTTATTTCAAAAATAACATATTATTATAGGAATATTCTTGAATTTTTGAGTTGAACATCTTGAAAATCTTTCCAAGATATTAAATAATATTTTGATAAGAAAAAGGGTTCCAACTTTAAGAAAAAACGAATAAAAATATTGAAACATTTTAAAAAATATTCATAGAGCTATGTATATTAATATATATTTATATTTTTTAATATTTAAATTTTTGCAAAAACCCCTTCCTTCCCGTATTGTTACTTACTCCTGCCCGCATTTTCCAGCGTAGATGCCGCCGATCCAGCCCCCGAGCTGCGATCCTGCTGGTGCAGTAGCTGATCCTGCTGCAGCTGCTGCGGTTGTTGCAACATCTGCAACTGCTGCACATCGCAGTGCACCTCATGAATGGGC